AAGAGAATGGTGTGTGTGTGTGTGTGTGTGTGTGTGTGTGTGTGTGTGTGAAGGTAATGAAGATTTAATAGCCGACTGGCTGCTGTAAGCCAATAGGGTGAGTCAGGAGGGTACTGTCGCTTTAAGAGGCTGTCTATATAAAGGAGGCCATGTGAGGACCTCTCTCTCTCTCTCTGTCTTTCTCTCTTTCTCTCTCTCTCTCTGTCTTTCTCTCTTTCTCTCTCTCTTTCTGTCTCTCTTTCTCTCTCTCTCTCTCTCTCTTTCTCTCTTTCTGTCTCTCTTTCTATCTCTCTTTCTCTCTCTCTTTCTCTCTCTCTCTCCTCCTGTTCTATCTCCATTGTAGTTCTCCGTGTAGAGTTGAAGATCGATTGCTTGCCTGGTATTTGCCTAACACGTGTGTGTATCTATATAGTAGTCTTGCACACAAACCGTGAAAAGACAACGCTTCTGTGTGCTTTTGTGGTGCTCCCCGATAGTAGTCACGCTGTAAACACTCCGATGGAAGGGGATTCCAGGGGAGGCTACAGGAAGTTGTCAACTTACAACAATTCGTTTAGTGACCGTTTTAAGTTACAACGGCACTGCAAAAAAAAAAAGGGGGGGGAATTTACGACCCTTCCTCACACTTAGGATGGTCGTAGCAGCCCCATGGATACATAATTCAGACCCTTGGCAATTGACTCATATTTCTGACAGTCCTGGGGTCACGGGGGCCGCTTTTGCGACTCTTCAGACGAGCAAAGCCAATGGGGAAGCCCGATTCATTGAACGACCGTCTTACTAACTGAACGACGGCAACAATTTGCTTAACAACCGGGACAAGAAAAAGTCATAAACTGGGGCGAAACTCAACTGTCATGCTTGGCGATGGAAATTGGGGGCTCGACAGCCGTCGTATGTTGAGGACTGCTTATAATTTTTGGGAGTGGGGCTGCCCAATTGTGAAATTCTTTATATATATATATAATTCTTTATATATATATATATGTGGATCTTTGGTTGTTCGGGTTTTCTCCCGCGTAAGATTCGAAGTATCTAGGCAAATACCCGCGAGAACCTCAGAAAATATATATATATAATATATATATATATATATATGTGTGTGTGTGTGTGTGTGTGTGTGTTTTCTGAGGTTCTTGCGGGTATTTGTATGTGGATCTTTGGTTATTCGGGTTTTCTCCCACGTAAGATTGGAGGTATCTAGGCAACGTTTCAATGAAGTCTCATTCATCATCTTCAGGCTTGTGTCTTCGGCTCTATGCTTCTCAGAGTGATGTGAGCTTGCAGCTGCTTCTTCCTTTTAACTGCTAGTGGGGGTGTGACTTGATTGGGTGGGGGCTTGGCTGTGTTCTGATTGGTAGGGTGGTTGGCCATGTTCTGATTGGCTGGAGGCGTGTTCTGTTCAGGTGGGTGCTTGGTTGTGGTCAGGTTAGTCTTAGTTGCTGGGGGATTAGAGCTGGTGAGCTGTGATCCTGCTGTTTGGCTTCGAGTTCGTGGTCGTGCTGCATCTTCATGGTGGGTGTCAGTTTGCTTCATGTATGGCTCGGAGGGCTTTGAAGTGGGTAGTGATGCAACTGCAGTGCGGCTTCTGGTCCGTGGTCGTGTCTCATCTTCTGTGTGGGTGTGAGTCTGCTTTCTGCGTGGAAGTGTGGTGGTGGCATCTTGTGTGGCCCTCATGGGTGTGG